AACTGTATAAATGAATGGCATATGAATGATTAAAATTCTCTTTCTATTTTAGTTAACTTTCGATGAATAGAAGGTCGACGTGATCTATATATTTTCAAGTATTTCGTGCTGTTTTTTTTTTTTTTAAGTATAACACGGCTTTTGGATCAGATTTTTGATAGATGATAGCCTCAAACGTCATAATAACATGTGATAATGCTTCATTTTTATATAAAGCATGACTAGTTACATCATTGTAAGTACCGTGTTGAAAGGTCCAACTAATAACACGTAGAAAAAGACCAAGAATGCTGCCATTATCTAGAAATAAAATATTTTAAAGTCTAATAAGACGTAGAAACTTTATAAATTATCAAAATTATAAGTCTTAATCTATTTTTTTTTTTTTTGTTATAAAAGAATTTTATTCATTTATGTATCCATTTAAAGCCCAAAATACAGAAGAACTTTTAAAATGAAATTGTATAGACTAAATAAAATAATTAAGACAATGGACTGAATGGTTTAATTCCTTAGTAGAATAGTTTTTTTTTTTCAATTTTATTTCACTGTAAACGGACATTTTATGATAGATAATTTATCTTAAAAGAGGAATGAAAATGTCGAAACTATAATTATGTCAATATAATTCGTAATTTTACGTTTTAGATACGATTTAGGAAATGAAACCTTGGTTATAGTTTTCAGTCAATTTTTCTGAGTATTTTTTTTTTTTTTTCTTTTTTTTATTGCTTACTTTTATTAACAATTTTCAATTGATAAATCGATAAATTCTTTGGTTTGAAGCAATCTTAATCGACTATTTAATGGGTGTACATTCTATTTAACGGAAACACTTTCTCTCTCCTTTTCTCTTCCGTTTAACGAGTCAAATATTCCATTTTTAGTATTCCATTTCGAGTTTTATGAAATTTTAGTATGGCCATTGTTTTTTTTCCTTCCAACTCTTCTTACTTTTTTAAATTTTAACTAAATCCATAAACACGAAAAGAACATTTTTATTCATTGCATTTTTGATCTCGAATTCTTATATTTTTTTTTAGATATTTCTACTAAGCACGTACAGTACACTACAGTGTACACATAAATGAATCACCATAACTTCGAATTAAATTAATATTAGTTTTTTTTTTTATTATTATTTAAGATTATTAATTATTAATGTATGGATTAAAAAAAATGATAATTTATACACTGCTCGGAGTATTGTGTCGCTCTAACAAGTATTTATGTACACGCTTCCTTAATATTTGTTATGGAAGAGAGGAAAATGGCCCTATTACATTTTGTGATACTTCAGACTAAACTGTATTGATTCTACCACAGTGCAAAGAAAGTATTTTTTTTTTTTAANAATTTCAATGATTAAATATTACATAATAATATTACAGCACACCACCTCCTCTAATAATTTTGGGTCACCCGTAGATTTAGATAGATTAGTGTTAGCCCAATTGGAGGGTTAGCCTGTATCCTCCAGGCAGAGTAGCTGTTTTAGATATTTTGTGTGTGTGTGTGTGCATGATAATACCAAACATATTTTAAATATAATCTGATGTATTTAGTGATATACTTTGTACATTATAAGACTAAATAATTTTGTAGATTTTTGTAGATTTTTTCTGTTAATTAATTCAGATATTTAAAAATCAAATTAATACAATTAATAAATAAAGCAATACGTTTTTTATTTGATTAATTTAAATAGTAATTACTAAAGTTAATAGATCAAATCCATAGTTTTAATAAAGTAAATTCGATGTTCTGTTAATTTTGTGTAAATATAGTTTCAGTTTTTGTTTACAGTTTCGTATGATAATATTTACACAGCAAGGAACCTCCTAATTCATTTATATTTATTTAAATTTGAGGAAAAAAAAAAAAAAGTCAGTTTTCCTTATAAAAGAAGAGAGGAGAAAATAGATAAATTTTTATAAGTTAATTCTCTGTTATTCTTTTGTTCGATGGAATAAGGAAAATTAATAATAAAAAATAATAAAAATCTTAGGTGAAGTTACTTAAAACAAAGTGAAATTTTCCCAATCGGCACACACGAGGATGGCAAAATTAATTTTGTAAAAGCATTTCTAAAGTCTACAGTACAAAGACAATTCTAGTTTAACATTCGCAGTCTGTTTAAACTTGTCTTAATCCATTTACAGGAGAAGAGGATTATTCTGACTGTTTGTTAATTTCGTTTCTGATTCCATAATAACTTTCGACCAGTTAGTGAAGCCAATGGTTTGTAATAGCTTTGCGTGTTCATTCTACCATTGATTGTGCGCGACGTTAATTGACTCTTATGCTGTCTCTCTTTTAACTTTAACGAGAAATGATTTTGTTTAAATTATAATAAGAAAGTTTCACGTTAGACGAATTTTACTTGAGAGTTTTCAAGTCAATCTTTCATAAGTTACAGTTAAATGAAAGGAGGAAAAAAAAAAAGAAACACTTGTGTATTGATATTTCTTATTATATTTGAATTACTTTATTGGTTATTAAATATATTCGTTTAATTTTTTTTTCTTCTTATTCTACAGATAAGACATTTAAAAATAAGATAGGAAGAAGTTAGAATCTTCAATTTTTGAAATATTAGCATAGAGTAAATATAACTTAAAATAAATTTTCTAGTAATGTATTTGAAATTTATTTTATTTTTTTTTTATCTTCTTCTATCGATCATCTTCAGAAAACTCTTTCAAAATTTATGTTTAAAATACGCTCGAACGCATTTAATTAAGCTCTTGGATGAAATTTATATATATAAATTTCAATGTTTTTTTTGCGGTATACTTATAAGTTAAAAAGATAGTGTTATAAATTTTATACAGGAAATATTAGGCATTTAAATTTTTAACATAATCGCATTCAAAATTTGTTTTATTTCGGACAAGTTATAGTTATTTGAATAAATTGTTTAAGAAAAGTAGAAATTAAACAACAAAAAAACAAATTGTATAGGCCTATTATTTAAAGAAAAGTTTTCAAGATATCCACATTTGTATTATTTAAATAGTTTTGTGGCTTACTTTTAAAGTTTTAGAGTTTATACTATTTTACTATTCAGTTCCCTTGATTAAATAAGGACATCTTTATATAAAGTGTTATTTCAAAGATTTGTTCTTACAATTTAGAAGAAGTCTATTGTCTCTCTCTCTCTCTCTGTGTGTGTGTGTTTTTTTTAAATGGCAGCATTATGCAAATAAACATTACAACTATACTTCAAAGACGTATCAGATTTATTTAGTAGGACAGTGGCTAAATTACAATGCATCTAAACCTTCCTATTTCTATTTTTGCAAATACTGTTATTACTTTAAATGTATGCATAATTGATAAACAAAGTTTATCGTTTCTTATTTTTATGAAAGATAAAAGCATATATATTCAAATTTGTATTATCTCGACACATAAAAAAGTTAATTTTCTAAGGATTAAGACTGCTAAATAATATTTAATATAGATGTTTTATATTTAACAGACTGTAATTAAATATATAATAATTGATTAGATTACATAAGATTCTTGTAAATTACACATTTTTGTTTTAACTGTTGAATAAAGTTGGCAAACAAATAAAATCCAATAAATGAATATCTTTACAAATTATTCGAAAGGATTTATCAGGAGTAAATCTCACTTTTCTCTTCTTTAAAATATCGCTAGTGGAAGTTATTGCGGCGGTACGGACTAAAGAAAATCCCAGATAATCCTTCTAACCTTAATCAGAACTGTGAAGTAATAAGACCAGGAAGTATGTTCACACTCTGTGAGCAGGGGATGTATCCAGCGCACAATAGAGACTAGAGCAGGAGCGCCAACCTTTGCGCTTTACATAATTCATGAGTTAATTAGATAAATGGAGTAGTGAGGAGGTGCTCCTCCTCTTCTGGACGGGCTTAGTCAATCGAACATTGGAGAAGAACTACCATGACAGGGTTGATGTTCGGCGGTCGAATATGTTGCTGACATGTAATAGGATGTCCAAAGTACATCTTATGGATGTGTTTTAATATTTCATATACCTTACTTCTCTGCTTTAATGTATCTGGTTTTATTTTCTTTTTCGAGCTGCTTGTTTATAATACGTTTATTCGCTTAAGAAATTTAAAATTCCACTAAATTATTTATAAATGTAAACTATTTTAAAATATATTTATTATTAAAAACCGTTAAAATTCATCTTCGTTCGTTCTACAGTTTTGTAAATTATTAAGTTATTTAGTTCAAAATTTTTAAAAAATTAAATCTGTTTTTAAATTTTTGATAAACAACTAAAAAAATATTTTTATCCGCTACTAAAATTGATAAGAAATAAATCATTTTTATATATTTCTTCTCCTTGTCAACCGTATTTGTTCGTGGATTTCAGTTTTTGTTTACAGTTTCGTATGATAATATTTACACAGCAAGGAACCTCCTATAGACCTTGTATCATCCTGATACAATAACAATTGAATTAACTATTGAATATTTGTTCCTCTTACGATATTTTATTCGTGTTTTTACTAATAAAAATTTCTCTTTTTATGTAATAATTATTAAATTATTATAACGAGGTACCTCGTATTGATGGCTACTATACATACATTCTAGTAAAAAAACTCTTCTCTGATTTTAATTAGAAGAACATGATCATTTCTACTTCCAATTAAATTATTTTGTAAGTTCATACGAGAAAATACCGACATCATTAGATTTTAATTGCTGTGAAGTACATTAGTTTACTTCAGCAAAGTTCTTGCCATGAAATTTCGACCTCACATTAAAATCTCTTCAGGTAAATCAAAAATTATTTAAGGATAAGTATATTATATGGTAATTTATTCAAGAAATGTTTATCAATCACTACAAAATCTCGATTGAAACAGCTGGGAATAATGTATCGACCCACTGCTTTAATTAATCATTTGATCGTTTATTTTTAGTTTAAGTTTTATATATTTAATGAATGTAGTTTCGTGTAATATATATATAAATGTATTTCTTTGTTACAGAAGAAGATGTGCCTGTGGGTTTCCCTCAGTTCACACTGCTCCCAACTACACAGGGAGTAGAGAAAGGTAGAAACGCCTTATTACCGTGCCAAGCCGTAGGTGATCCTGAACCCGACATCAGGTGGCTGAAAAATAAAATCCCTGTAGATATGAGCGAGCCTAGATACACACTTATGCAATGTAAGTTTACATTTTATTAATTTTCTTTTCATTGTGTGAATTCCTTTTGTTTCCTTTTATTACTTTTAGATATTAGAATTGTAAGAGAATATTTTCTTTAATAAACAAATTTATGATCTCTTTCCGAAGAAAATAATAATAATAATAATAAAAGAAGTCAATAAAATCTTATTCTTTTATTTAATTTATCGCATTAAATTATAATTTGAATCCATTTTTTTTTAATATATATATAATCAAAAGAAGAGAGTCGACAATCTGTCGTTTGGTTTGACAATTACTTTTATTGAAAGGATTGATGAATTTTACATTTTGAATTAAGATAAATAATACTAATGAATATAAAATAATTAGTAACGAGTATCAAATGTTCCTTATAATATAATCGATAATGATTCTTTTCATACGTTTGGATGAATCCAAATTTTATTTTCACGCATTAAATGTATCAAATTAAATTCAAAACTCCTCCTGAATGTCATATTGATTAACATTTTAGTCTTTTTTTCCAGATATAATTTATGTAATTGATTCAAATAAATAAAGAATTCAACCAATTGTTTTAAATAACATTTAAAAAGTTCGAATTTTGGCATTAAAAGAAAACAAATTTGTCAAATTATTATCATACAAATCAACGAATATTTGATTAAAATTAAAATATTATTTTCATTAGAAAATTTCATAAATATATAGGCCTATAGAGTAATTCTGAAATAATTTTTACAAAAGGTATTGATTTATCTCCTATTTTATGTATGGATCAATAGCAGTGCTATAAAGATAAAAGTTAATTATGTATATAAATGACAGGAAATAAATCATTTTATTGATGAATAATAACTATAGACTTTCATTAAAATAGTCACTAATTTCATGATATGTATAACGTATAGATTCCACGAATTTATATATTATTTATATTATTAAAATGCATGAAAATTTATATATATATACAGTATTAAAGCTTTCTGTAAACATTTCTTATAAATAGTACATTCAATTATCAAAAATACTTAAGAAAATTCTTTTAATATAACTTTTATCCATCTGTTTTTAAAATGATATGTTATACGTGTATATAGTTGGGTGTTATGAATAAATCCGTAAACTTCGATATTAAAAGTTATCATAAACTATTATAATCCCAAAATAGTCAGCAATGTTTTCAAATAACAGTATAAAGTTTCTTAGACTTCGGTATTTTCATTAAGTCTATTCATAAAATATCCTAAGCCAGACGTTGTTCGTAGACACTTTTATAAACTTTATAACCAAAACATTACTAACAACAGTAAATCTTTAACGTTGTCATTCCGTATTAGTTATTGTGACGCATTTACTCTCTGGAAGTAGTTATAAAGGCTTGCAAGCAATAAACTATACCTTGGGAAGTATCGGATTTACAGTAGATTCTCCAATGGAGTATCTAATAACTTTAGAAATGTTGGAATTCTCCCCAAAGTACATTAACGTGTTACCTTGTTTATTACCAGAAACCCGTTCCTCCTTAGAGAGGTCCCTCTGACAGGATGAAAAAAAAACTTTCACTGTCAGAACGGAATCATTTATAATTAAGTTTATTGTAAGGAAGATGACTCTCTGGAAATTATGTTGTTACCTCAAACAAAAATAGCAAAAATGCTATCTTGTTTGCACTTAGTTTTATTATTATTACATTATGCCTGCATGGCTATTTCCGTTTATGGGATCATCACAGCACTTTAATTAACGAAACCGTCTTAAGTTATAACTAGTTACATTCTGCGGGTTATTCAAGTAAAGTAACTGCAGTCATTAATGATTGACACTTTTTCGTGTCTACAATGTCCCTTAGAAATCGACTCTCTGTAGTCCTTCTTACTAATGATTGTGCTTATATGTTGGATTTATTTGTAAGAAACTGTACAATTAACAACTAAAAAGAAGATATTTTAATTGAACTTCAGAAGAGTTGGATAGAGTAACAAATTTTAATATTCAATTTGTTACCATCTGTCTTATTATTAACAATATAAAAAAGAAATACAAGTTGAAACTCTAACATTTCTGTTTAATGACTGCATTTAAAAATTGACAAACGAAATTACTGGTAAGAGAACGTATAGTTTCACTGGGTATAAAAAGACGAATGGCACTTTTCATAATGCAGTTTCTTCGTCACTACAGCTAATATGTTTGTATTAACTTACACTACTGCCTTATTATGGCGGCATTAAAAGACCATTTCTTCCGAAAATAGTGAAAAGAATCTGTTAAGATAACAAACGTATCATCTTCAGGACTTAAGTAAAAGAAGTTTGTTTTCATTTACTTTCTTTATATTGCTTCATGCCATCTGCTGTGCAGACACAGATGCCTGCTTAAAGACTAAAGTACAGTCGATGTATTGACTAAATGTCACCAATCATCAAGATTAATGGACTTGTGGTTTTAATATTATCCGAGCAGTAATAGAGTTCTGTGACTTGTATAAATTTCATCATATTTTGTCACACGGTTATTATGATTTTTCAAAAGAATTCTTAATGCTTTTCTAGTTTACTTGATCAGTTTTATAAGAAAACCACAAATAAATAAAACATTTTTGTTTCAAATGACTTAAGAGATGGAATGAAATACAGAACTATTTCTGTCACATTTATTCTTCTACCATTATTAGATCCATGCCAATTTAAGCTAAGATTTCACAGTATACATTTTATTCTTTAATTATTCTATAGTTTTTGTCTCATATTTTCTATAAAGTCTTTAAAGAATATCTTTCTTATAGTTGCTTGCAAAGATTTCTTATACAGTCGACCCCCCTATAACACTGTTGATTATTCTGTTTTATATGAATTCCATGTTGTATGAGTCACTTAGATTTTAGAAATACGTGTGCCAGGCTGTGAACGGCTCACGTATTTGTATAATCTAAGTGATTCGTACAACATGGAATTCATATAAAATGGAATTATCAACAGTGTTATTGTGGGGTCGACTGTATATCTGTTATAGATTCCATCTTGTGTTTGTAATTTTATTGAAAAAAATATAACAGATTTTCTTACGAGTTTGCTTTGTAAATCTCATTCTTAATTAATATGTTACGACTGTGTCTTTCGACTTGATTATTATTAGAGTCTTAATATTGCAAAACCCAGTCGAATATCTGATTAAACTCACTTAGTACTATTATATTGTGGTTGTTAAATTCAATATTACGTCAAGTTTATTCAGTGGTGCAAAGGAAATGAATGACAATGTGATTTCGTTTCTCCTGCTTTATCTCAATGGTGACATTTTGTGCAATTATAGAAGAGAAGATTTATTATCTGTAAGCTCTCTCTCAAGTATCATTAGTAATTTTACATTAGTGCAAATTACGCGCTGATTACTTAGTTATTGACGATTTTTTTTCAAGATGGTTTCTTTTTATATTTTAAAAATAAAGTCTTAGAAAATATTACAATTTTAATATTTATAAACATTGATTACACTGATTTTTTTTATCTTTTCAACACGCATTATTTATTATAATAATAATAGTTCTGTATATGACACATATATATAATTTAATATCACAAATTGTTACGTTGTATTATAAGTCGAAACGTTCTAATAATAATAGGAATTATTAAATGATAGTTTAATAGTGATATATTGAATTAATATTAACGTCATATTATCTTCTCAGCATCTCTACAGATTGCAGATGCCCAAGAAGAAGATAAAGGGGAATATGAATGCATTGCAGAGAATGAAAAAGGAACTGCATTTTCTAGCTTGGCTATTCTTTACGTTAGAGGTATTTTTTTCTTTCTTATTACTAAATATAAAATACTTTTTTTTTCTATTTAAATTTTTTTTACACTAGGAAGCAATATAATTTATATAATATATAGAAATTTCAATTTAAATTAAGGAGTTCAGAAACAATTAATAAAAATTCAATATAATATTTGATTTAAATTAATAATTCATATTTTAAACTTTTTTTTTTAAATAGAATTTTTGGTTAACTGAATATCAAATTTTAACAAAAAAAAAATATATTTTTTTTCTTTTTAAATTTTATTTTTTAAAAAGTTAGAAGTTGTTTTTCATTATTCATAAGATATATATTTTTTTCCTCTTTGAAGATCTCTAACTCATGAAAATTCAAGTTATCGGCGACGTTGCATTAATTTATTTTTTTAATATTTTTTTTTATAGCATTAAGAAATAGCATATAGAGAGAGAACATTAAAATCTATAAAACACACAAAAATTACATGCTTAAACACTAAATAAAATTATTCATAATGAAGATTGAATGTAATGAAACTTAATTAAAAATATATTCATTAAATAAATAAAATATTTATTTATCATTATATTAGAATGAAGTGTATTATTATTATTATTAATTTATTCAGTATTTTATTAAGTAAAAATTAAAATTACATATTTAAATTTACAATAGAAATATATGGCATTAAAGTTTGATTTGACAATATATTAAAATAAGTTATATTGAAACTAATGGTATTTCTTATCGTTACGAGTTTAAAAATTGTTTATATTTATTCTGATTGTATCTAAAAGATTCTTTAAATCATTCTATTCGATTCGATTGTATTGTCTGTATATATCGTATATATGTATATATATTTTTTATGTTTATTTTAGTTTTGAAACGTCAATATTCTTTTGTCATGTAAAGTAGTGACTTAGTTGATGTCACTTCAACTGATGCCTTCCAGTAGCTGGCAGAAATGTGTTCAGTGACAGACATCAGGTTATGCCAGTAAAATATATCTCTATTGGGTTTTCAATGGATAATGTCAGAGTTGTGTACTATTTGGTGACAAAAAACTTACTCTGGAAGTATGTGAAACTTCACCGTTTTCTTACAACTTCGTTTTAGCATTAATGGCGATAGGGGATAAATTCCAGAAGGAATAAGAAGTTAAACTCATAAATTTTCGTTAAATTCGAATGCAATTTTTAAAATTTAAGAATTGTTTACGTTAAGATTAATATGTATTAATTTTCAATAATAAATTAAACATTGAAAAACGAAAGCAAAAGACAATACAATTAACATTTGAATTAATTAAAGAATAATTAAAGAATAATTAAATATTTTGAAAATTGAATTTTTAATGGATTAAAAAATGTTTTTATAGTAAGACGTGTGCCTCCGTATTTTTCTATACCGCCCGAATCAATGTATGAAGTGATGCCAGGAGGAAGTATCAATATAACTTGTGTCGCTGTTGGATCTCCTATGCCATATGTAAAGTGGCGTAAAGGATCGTTGGATTTAACACAGGAGCATTCGATTCCTATTGGGAAAAATGTACTCCAGTTGGATAATGTACGAGAGTCCGCTAATTATACATGTGTAGCAGATTCAACATTAGGCAACATAGAAGTCGTAACTCAGGTGGTCGTACAAGGTAAGTTTTATTTAATTTATCTTTTATCTATTACGTGTCGGTAGTAATCTGATCATCCGCATGGTTTCTAGCTCTTCCTCGACCACCCACAAATCTTCAGATATCCGATGTCACAGCCACATCAATTAGATTGGCGTGGTCTTATGATGTCGGAGCAGAAAATATTATTTATTATGTCATTCAATACAAACCAAAACAAGCGAATCAAGAATACAGTGAAATAAGTGGTATTAATACCATGTTCTACACAGTAAGAGATTTAACACCTTACACGGAGTACGAATTTCACGTAATTGCAGTAAATGCAATAGGACGTGGTTCTGCCAGTGCACCAGCTGTAGTAACAACTGGAGAAACAGGTAAGAAAGGTACTTCAATCGATTTACTTTCATCATTTTTAATAGGAAATATTCAAAATTCCTAAAAAAGAAAAAAATGGAAAGGATTTCTTAGAAACGGAAAATACTATATATATATAAATCTAGTAGACTATTTGAATGTTTAATAAGTAAGAAAAATAAAAATAATTTAATGTAAAGCATGTATATAACGTATAAATTAATCAATTTTTTTGAAAATTTAAGAAAAATTATTATTTTTTTTCCTGCTTTTTTGACAATTTTGATTGAAGTATTTTTGATTTAATTTTTATGTTCTACAGAATGAAATCATTTCTACATTTTTTATGAATTTTGAGTAAATTTTTAGTAAATTTTGAGTAATTTTACTTTCAGAATGAAATATGTATACATAAACATGTATAACAGTTATATATACCGACGTATTGAACAATTTAACAGCTTTATAATTTAATCTCTTATGTTATTACATATTTAATATTCTACGCATAATTATAACATTTCTTTTCCATGTGAACTGTTCACAGCATCTATATTAACTACAATAACTGTTATACATATGACTTTGCTATTAAATCTACATTCTCAACTTCTTTTTTTTTTATTTCTTTATGGATTTTCATAGAATTTTAAAGGAGATATTTTGAATATTTTATCGTACTATATTTCGTGATTTGAAATTTATTATAAGTTATTAATTTACAATACGTTTCATCGGGTTTTTTGATCATTGATGTTTTTATCATTATTTTGTATATGAGCGCTTCAAGCATAACACGATGCAAGGTATGATTTTTAAATATTTATAAGTAGCAATAAATTTTAGGCACAACAGTATAAAATAATAATATATATATAGTGTTTGT